CTCGCCACCAAGGAGCTAGGCAGCTCTCCAAGGAGCACGCCAAGGAGCTCGGCATCTCACCAAGGAGCTCGCCACCAAGGAGCTAGGCCGCTCTTCGAGGAGCTCGCCAAGGAGCTCGGCAGCTCACCAAAGAGCTAGGCATCTCTCCAAGGAGCTCACCAAGGAGCTCGCCAAGGAGCTCGGCAGCTCACCAAGGAGCTCACCAAGGAGCTACGCAGCTCTCCAAGGAGCTCGCCACCAAGGAGCTAGGCAGCTCTCCAAGGAGCTTGCCAAGGAGCTCGCCACCAAGGAACTCGGCAACTCTCCAAGGAGCTCGCCACCAAGGAACTCGGCAACTCTCCAAGGAGCTCGCCACCAAGGAGCTAGGCAACTCACCAAGGAGCTCGGCAGCTCACCTAGGAGCTCAGCAAGGAGCTTGCCACCAAGGAGCTCGACAACTCTCTAAGGAGCTCGACAAGGAGCTCGCCAACAAGGAGCTAGGCAGCTCTCCAAGGAGCTCGTCACCAAGGTAGCGCACTCAGCAGCTCATCAAGGTGGCTCACTACTTGGGAGCTCGTCACCAAGTAGCCACCAGGGAGCTTGTCGCCATAGGCAGGTCGCCACTTGAAGGGTAGCTCGGTACAGAAGACCAGTTTGACATATCGCAGGAAGATCTCCTGCCTGACAACTGTACCTGACAGATTTGGTGGTAGCCCCCACATCTCTTGCCAGACGGCGTTGTGCCTGCCGTCTCTAAAAAGCATGGCACGCCTGACGAGTCCGTACCCTGCAGTAGTAGCCTACACCTGTCACCTCAGTCTTGGCAGTAATGGCTAGGGCAGTGGCGGTTACGCCTGATGGAGATCACCTCATGCAGAGGGCAGTCGGGTTGCGCTACACCAGGGAGCTCCACCATCCTCTGTGTTACAGGCCGCCTAGGAGCAGGTCAAATGACGAGTCCACCAAGGTAGCTCACCACCAGAGAGCTCAACATAGCTCTCCCCCGGGCAGTTCCCCATCAGGGAGCTTGGCATAGCTCTCTCTAGCTCGGCATAGTGTGGGCAGCTCAGCATAGCTCTCCCCCAGGCAGTTAGCCATTAGGGAGCTCGGCATAGCTCTCCCCCAGGCAGTTCACCACCAGGGAGCTCCACCATCCTCTCCTGGGAGCAGGTCAAATGACGAGGTACTTAGCCAAAAAAATTGATACATCACAAAAATTGGCACGTGACCGGAAATGGTTACATCAATTGGCGCCGTCTGTGGGAACACGCTACAAAAAGCTAAGTTCTCATCCTACAAAAGCTAAGTTCTCATCTTACAAAAGCTAAGTCCTCTTCTCCCAGAAAGCTAAGTCCTCACTTTTTAGAAATTGAAGCTCTCGCTTTATAGTTTACATTTTTTATGAACTCAAAGAGTATGCAGGGAGTTAACAAACTAAGTAACTTTACTTTCAATTTGGATAAAGCCTCATCAGTCATCTTCGCAAGGTCCCCCCAACAAAGATGAGTTCTTCGTGGCTTCCACTGCAGTTGGTGGCCAACAGACTACATAGGCGCCCTTACTGGTCGAGCCTTCCAGGGCTCCCATGTGAGCTGGCGACCTAAAGTTAGTAGTGCTGCCCCCGAAGGTCAAGCTCCTAGTAGCTTCTTGTAGGAGTGGGTGACCAGCATTATGAAGCTGATGCAGCGCAATCATAGCTCTAAGGCACCCACCTGGTCAGCTCAGCACCTCACAAGTAGCTCGGCACCCAGTCAGCCCGATACCTCATTGGTAGCTCGACACCTCACTGGTAGCTCGGCACCTGGTCAGCTCGGTACCTCGCAGGCAGCTCAGCACTTGGTCAGTTCGGCACCTCACAGGTATCTCGACACCTGGTCAGCTTGGCACCTCACGAGCAAAGCCTACGGGCCACATTACTGCTTAAAGACCCAGTCGCCTCTTTGGCATGGGCAAAGTCAAAAAAGAGTGGACTACGAGTCGTTCTCAAAGCCTACGGGCCACGTTACTGCAGAAAAACCCAGTCACCTCTACAACATGGGCAACACAACCGCTTAAGACCCAGGTGCCTCTCCGGCATGGGCAAAGTCAAGAAGAGTGGACTATGAGTCGCTCCCAAAGCCTATGGGCCACATTATTACTTAAGACCCAATCGCTTTTTCAGCATGGGAAAAATCAGCAAAAGTGGACTATAAGTTGCCCCCATAGCCTAAGGGCTACAGTACTGAACTGGCGGAGACCTCCTCACCTTACAGGCAGCTCCCAGAGCCAAAGAAATTAGATCAGCATTTACTAGCTCGTCGACTTATGGGCCAAAAGGAGAAATCTACTCCCTTCGCCGAGTTACTTTCAACTCGGGAGTGGGGGGCAAATGATGAGGGCAGATTTGGCCCTCCAATGGAATTATGACACCTGGCACCTCACGGCTGCTCACCAAGGAGCTCGCCACCAAGGAGCTAGGCAGCTCTCCAAGGAGCTCGCCAAGGAGCTCGGCAGCTCACCAAGGAGGTTGCCACCAAGGAGCTAGGCAGCTCTCTGAGGAGCTCGCCAAGGAGCTCGGCAGCTCACCAAGGAG